TGAAAAGCGCTAAAGACAGCATGTTCAAGGACAATTAGAAGCCTGCGGCCTAGAGGAGAGCAATTTGAGCATTTGAAGCATTTCAATGAGGTGTTGCTGCTGCTGAAAGGAAGCTTTTATCAGATTCAATAATCGACAATTCACATCATGAACTTAAAATCATTTGCACTCTCGAACAGCAAAAAAACAAAATCAATAAAATTTTTTAAAATGTGTGTTCATATCAGCACATTCCATGTGTTTTACTTTATAGTTTAGAATAGTTTTCGAAGATATTACTTATGCGTTTACAGAACGTTTAACATAAATACAGTGGCTGGGTAATGCACTCACTCGTAAATCTTGACGATCTTCTTAAGTGATAACGATCTTATGAAATAAGTAATATCTTATGGAATATTTCTTAAATTTCTTATATGATCATGAAATATAAATTATCTGAAATAATACTGACAACATTCTGATGGGATATACCTGAAAGTTCCATATAATCAAGACCTCTTCTTGAAATGAACCTCAGTCTTCTTAGAATGTGAATGTACCGCAGTACATGAGGTCTTATCGATATTCATTGCTATACTCCAACTGATTTCATTGTCAGATAATCTTGGCCCCATTGAAATAATTCGGCTATCTAATTGTTATATTCAAGCAATCTCGACAAGGAATGGGAACCAACGGAAGATGGAAGGCGATATACTTTTGGGGAAGGACACGCAAGACGAGTTTCGTTGGCAAACTGCTGAAGATGCAATGCAGTTGAGGTTGAAATTCGGTGTTGAGGGTAAGTTGAGGGTAAGCCGGATGTGATATCCGGATTCAAAAGGGCAATCATTCAAGTTGTCCTTGTCACAGAAAATTGAATGCTGTAAATGCTTGTTATAACATGAAAGATAGCTTGAAACCATAAGAAATGGGTGCAATTGAAATATATTTTTTTAAGCAAAGCGATCAATATGAGAAACGTCATCGATGTGTGAGTGCTGTGTGCACAATTAAGTTGAAA